ATTCAATACACGTTCCAAACAGTCAACACACGTACCAAACAGTCAACACACGGACCAAGCAGTCAACACGCGCACCAAACAGTGAACATACGCACTAAACAGTCAACACACGCACCAAACAGTCAACACACGTACCAAACAGTCAAAACATGTACCAAACAGTCAAAACACGTACCAGACAGTCAACACACGTAACAAACGGTCAACACACGCACCAAACAGTCAACACAAGCAGCAAACAGTCAACACACGTACAACACATTCAATACACGTACCAAACAGTGAACACACGGACACGACAGTCAACACACGTACCACACATTCCACACACGCACCAAACAGTCAACACACGCACCAAGCATTCAACACACGTACCAACATTCAATTATGCACCAAACATTCAACACACTTACAAAACTTCAACACACATGCCAAACATTCATTACACGCACTATAACATTCAACACACGTGCCAAGCAGTCAATTAAAGTACCAAACATTCAAACACGCACTAAAACATTCAATACACGCACTATAACATTCAACACACGTACCGAATATTCAACCAAACCATTCAGGGCACCAAACATTCAACACATTTACTAAACCTCCAATACCGGATTTATTTCGAAACGTGAGTTGTACATTGCGCAACGACAGAACGCAAGTCACGAAGTGACGAAACAATGACATTACCTCCAACAGAAAAACACCCCATAACATCAAGGACACACTGTTTTATCTGGTGGATCAGAGAGGGCGACTTGCCCAGGAGCACGGTGACGTCAGAGGTACGTGTGGAAACAACTCGTCAGCTGGGACCTTCACCTGGCCGTGGTGGGAACGAACACTCTTACACCAGGGATAATCTACGCCTTCTATACTCATTGCTTACACTGACACCTGTACAGTCGAAGGAACTGGCAGGGTTCTCACAGTACAAGTTCAAGTATTTCCCAATCTTACTGTTATCGATAGGGTCTGGGCTGTAGACGGATTCTTTCCATAACTGTTTTATCCAGGTTTACTTTTGTTCACAGAACATTGTCCTAGGTGGAATATCACGCTGATTGAAGAGTTAAGCTACAAAGACAAATTATCTGTGAATGTTTGGTGCACCGTGTTCAGCCAGACATGTCCGAGTTGAAGATTCTCCACACTCACACATGAATCTAGACAACTGTAACATGGTGCTGATGTCCAAGTTAAGAAACTATTTACAATTGATATTTTGGCCACTTACACAAAATGTTCTTGTTTCATCAGACTTGAACTAACTGGGTAAGGAGGGAGGGTCGTGTTTGGTTATTTCACATACAAGTTGTCGGTCGGTGTGTGGTGCCCGCGTTCTCAGTTAAACCTGCGGATCAAAGGTATTTTATGGTCGCTTCTTTCGATACCGTCATCGGTGAAGAAATTGTTACTATTCACACTTGCTAATCATTGATTCAACAGAAAACTATTATGTGGGATCTAATTTGGTTTAAATATCTAAACCTATGGTAAGCATGGATCCAAGTTTTCAGTATGTCACTGCATCTTGTGGATCCCCTACCTGCTATTGACATGTGTTATGAACTTGTCAATGACCTGTGCAATGATTTGAAACATGGTTGATTGGTGCCATGAAAACCATTTTTATGGTTACTTGTGTATCAAGTGCATAAGGTTAGCTTAAAGTGGTTGTTTTCCTAAAGACGTGTTACCATATTATTTAAATAGATACAATTTCAAATTATAAATCTACGTTTAAGTAAAGTTGCGAATTTTTGTGATCCTTAGCAAAGTGTGAGTAGTATAGTTTCAATGATGTCCGTTTTTCACGCTTCGAAGTGTCGACAATGGGCCCAACTTCCCAACTTCTAAAATGCCACTCAAAGAAGTGGTCCTCCCTCGAAAGAAACAGCGAAAAGTGACAACAAAATAATGATCGTTTGTTAAACAACTTTATATTCGGGTGTCCAAAATTATGAGACAAATCAATAGTATGGATCATAAAACAATATACTGCCAATAAGTTGTCTACTTTTAGACAGACCGCCTCCGTGGTGTAGTGGGGTTAGAGCGTCCGCCCGGAGAGCGAAATGTCGCGGGTTTGACCCCCGGCCGCGTCATACCAAAATACGTTAAAATATGGTACTTGTTGGTCCCTGCCTGGCGCTCGGCATTAATGGGTACAAGAAGGACTGATTGGCTCGGAGTCAGTATAATGTGTCTGAGTGGGGTATTCATGCTTCACTGCGGCATGGTATCTCAGTGAGCTGGCACTATGGGCTAGTATACATACACACGCTGCACATAAGCAGCCACATACATGAGTGAAATATTCTTAAGAACGACTTTAAACCCATATCACCTGAACTCACCTGTCTTTATACACAGTTGAACCTGTATGGCAAGTGAGTGGATTATCAGTGAATGCAGGTGTTGTTGCAGTTTGCAATTTGACTCTTTTGTTTTGTTGTTTAACGCCACATTAAAAACAATTACAGCTGTATGGCGGCGGCCTATAAGTAATTGAGTCGGACCAGACAATCCAGTGATCAATTTCACTTTTAAAGCAAACGCACTCATTCAATAATGTTTTAGGGAAGAAATACTACATTTTACTCTGAATTCAGTCAGTAGATGTATCTAAATATTATATTTAAAGCAACACATTCATTTTCCTGAAACATCTTTGTGCATATATAAAGTTATTCCCAGGAGTATTGCCCTTCTTGGACTACTTTCTCAGACTGGGGATTGCGTCACATCTGGGATTCGAACCCACACTCGCAGCGCGCCAGCCACATTATCGCTAGCACCCGACAAGTGATCTAACCCAAATTGACTGTTCTTCACTGAGAAAATGTAATGCTAAATATGTTGCATTTGACCACTTTCTGTATGTCATTCTGTATTCAAGCAAAGTCATGTCTTGACCACTTTTGAGTGAGTGAGTGAGTTTAGTTTTACGCTGCACTCAGCAATATTTTAGCTATATGGCGGCGGTCTGTAAATAATCGTGTCTGGACCAGACAATCCAGTGATCAACAGCATCAGCATCGATCTGCGTATTTGGAACCGATGACATGTGTCAACCAAGTCAGCGAGCCTGACCACCCGATCCCGTTAGTCGCCTCTTAGGAAAAGCATAGTCGCCTTTTGTGACAAGCATAGGTTGCTATTCAAACTCGGATCTTCACGGGTCGACCACTTTTGACCCATGAAGGTCCGGGTTAGAATATTGATCTTCAGTGCTTGTCGTAAGAGGCGACTAACGGGATCAGGTGGTCAGGCTCGCTGACTTGGTTGACACACGTCAGTTCCCAATTGCACAGATCGATGCTCATGTTGTTGATCACTGGATTGTCTGATCCAGACTCGGATTATATACAGACCGCCCCCATATAGCTGGAATATTGCTGAGTGCGGCGTAAAACTTTACTCACTCACTCACCCTTGACCACTTAAAAGTGACAACTCCGTTTGCAAGTTGTGATCTGCAATGGCAGCTGGAGACCAATTCCCATCATCAGCCATAATGTTTGAATTGAGTAACTGTATGTATATGAACATAATTCGCAAGCTCCCAACAAACAACAAACATGTTACTATAGTAACAGCCCATTTATTCATAAAGCCATGCATGGGGTCAGAAGCAACATGTACAGGGGGGATAACTCTTGTCAGATCAGTGAAAGATATGAGGTAAGCATACATGTCCGAGTTGAAGATTCTCCACACTCACACATGAATCTAGACAACTGTAACATGGTGCTGATGTCCAAGTTCAGAAACTATTTACATTTGATATTTTGGCCACTTACACAAAATGTTCTTGTGTCATCAGACTTGAACTAACTGGGTTAGGAGGGAGGGTCGTGTTTGGTTATATCACTTCTTTTGTAGGCTGCTTTGAAAATAATCTGGATTCTATTGTACCATATTGGCTCTTCCATGACGTTTTGGTGGACTACACCTAAACTGTTACAGCATACATGGTCTACTAAAACTGTATTATAAAGCTAGTCACTCTACACTGTGTAAATCTGTTTCCTTCAAGACTAATACATTATAAAAATATTGCTGCTTAATTGCCCTCTTATCATAATTTATTCAAGTATCATTTCAATCAGTGTGCGAAATAATTTCCTAATTTTGCTAGCAATTTGGGCTAGTTATGCCTGAAAGTTACAAGCCCACAAAATAATTCACTAGCTCAAAATTTGAGTGTAGAAGCTAAGCAAAAGATTACAAAAAGTAAAATACCATAATTTATCAGGCCATAATCATGCATGATTTTAAAGTGAATTATAACTTAACAAGTCGGAGAGAGTGATATTTTTTTAAAAATAATCCCACAAAAATTCACTTGCCACTCGGGTCAGTGACCGTGGAGATATACTGGCCTGACTGGATTTTTACTAGCCACGGGCTTGTGGGACAGGGGCTATTTCACACACTGATTTCAATATTTTATAACTCAAATCAATGCTGAAACTATTTCACTGCTGATGTGAATGAACCCATGTAAACAAATGTCTCGAGTTGTTTCCTTGGAACCATCAAAAGCATGGACTCTAAAGCTCTAACAGCAAGTCTTAACTCTCCCCAGGGAGCTGAGAATACATACTTAATGTAAACTGACTAATAAACCATGGTTATAATGTTGTGCACCTTGGGTTGCCCATTGCTGGGTTTGGGCCACAGAGTTGACCTGTGATGAAAATGGTTTTCGCTGACAAAATTCATCACATTCATATAATCACAACAGAATTAGACAACAATGTAGATGATGCATTGACATCGACACTAACAGATGCCAACAAAGCCAGGTGTAGACTGTAACTGTCACACCAAGAACGGCAGGTACCATCGGATGAAGATGAGATTCATGCGGCCAAGATAACAGATGAATTCCAGAAACTTGATAATTTCACATTTAATAAAAAACATTTAAAAAACAAACCAAAAATAAACATAAACAAAAACTATCATTAAACTCCATGAAAAAAACATTTTTTAAAGTTTACATTATTCCCAAAATGATTTTATGTAAAAAAGGGATGGGCAATTATGTTATGTTTAAACATTCTTTAAAGTTTTTCTTGTTTCCAAAACAAATTTTTTTATACAAAAAGGATGGGCAATTATGTAAGTTTTTATTCTGTTATTATGAAATGCTTACAGATGATAACTTCCTCTATTGGCAGGATCTTAAAGGACTCATGCTGGTTCCACTGTGGCAAAGATGAAACAATGAGTGAGGTAGTGTCTGATTCATCGAATTTAATTTAAAAATCTTAAAACCAATGATAACTTCAAACCACACATCCCTATCAACACAAACAAGTCATGTCATGTTAATGATATTGATGATATTGATCACAGATTATAATATCTTTATATATTGTAAAGATTATATTAAACTAATGTCCAAGTATCACTGATAGATTAACAAGAACTTAGAGTTAGTTTGCTTCTACGCCGCTTTTAGCAATATTCCAGCAATATTGCAGAGGGGGACACCAGAAATGGGCTTAGAACTGTTCACTCCTGGATGAACTGAAGTAACAGAGACGACAGAAACAGGTTGATCAGTTCATCACTTCCATCTGGCCAACGCTTGTCGATTCTATTACTCTTACCCTCTACAATTGGGAGAAATTCATGCACATTCTAAAGTCAGATCTCAATTGCATAAAGTATCATATGAAAGACAAGATTACACAGCCTGACAATAAACAAGGCACTGATTTCCATACATTGACAAAATCTGAAGACTGAAAATGAAATGAAAATATTATAAAGTTTAAGAACTATCTATTTTACTGAATCATGAAATGTTTGTAGTACGGATTTCACAAAAAAAAAACCCCAAAAACATAACAGATATAACTTGATGCCAAATTAATCCTTGAGCAATAAAGGAGCTGAAATAGCATTTTCCTGTTCCAATATTTCCAGGAATTTTCCAACCAATTTAAGCTTGATATCAATCTAGCAAACCCTGGTAGCTCATGTGATGTAGGTGTTAAAGATGTCTCTGACAACAGCAATAAATGTTTCAACACCTATGTCATGCATGGATCGGGTTTCAATTCCCTCATTTCTTCCTGCCTTTATTTGTCTGTCTAACTTTCATAACAAGAACGCCAAAATCTCACCATGTGAATAGATAGTTTCTAACAATGAAATAACTTTCTGAAAACCATACAAAAAACAGATGTTTTTTCTTGGAATGAAATACCTGAGATGTTGCATATTCCTGGCAGGCTTGAAAACAGATACATTTTACCTCTAGAAATGTAACAATTTTTGAAAACTAAATTCATCACACTATTCTTACAATTTATGACAATTTTGTATCTAAATAAGCGTTTCTAAAAATGTTTGGTTTTCAATGTTGTAGAAATTAAAAGTCAATGTTGATGTGAGTTGATGAAGATTCTATAATGAGCACCTGCACACTATGAGGGATTTTACTGAGACAATACAATGATAGTATACTCGGAACATGCTTAAAAATACAAACATACACTTGAATACCACTGTACCATGTTTTTGTAAATGCTCCTTCAAATAAATAGCATAAAAATGTATCACATGCCATTATATGTTTAATCTAGACCTATATTTGTCCTTCGTGCTATGATCTGACTAAGATCAGTCTATTATGACATAAAAAGCTGACTGTCAAATCAGCTTTCTCAAAACCGAACTTGCATGCAAAGTCAGCAGAGTAGTCTCCCTTGACAAGGAGAGTGGTCTCCCCTTGTGAACGGTAGACTAGACATTGCTAAGGCATCCTCCTGATGATTGTGTAATGTTCACTTCTTCGCTGCCTCATCGTAAGCTTTCTTCAGCCGCTTCTTGAGTTCGCCCGGGAACCGATCGTAGCAAAATTTGCATACAGGCTTCAGATCAAATTCAAAGAACTTGGTTCTGAAAATAAACACATGGAAAGGTGAGACTTCTCCCTCAGACTGCAAATCAAGTAGGTGGCAGGGTTTCATATAATGTTTGGAGCCACTGATAATCCACACTGGGTAGTGATGTTTCCTATGGGTATATTCTAAAGGTAACAGATCTACAGGGTATGATAAACCACAAGGGTTTGCTGGTAGAAACATGGGCAACTCACAATGATGTTTCAATCCATGTTTTACAGAAATTTCAATGCTGACCTTGACCTTTGATTAATCTTATCAACGACATAAAAGTTCACAAAAGGTATGAATCCTAGAGAAGGAATATACCAAGATAAAAGTCAAATAAACTGTCAATAACTGAGTTGGGACAAAACAGATCCATGAATGACAGCAGGAACATGAACTGTAAAATGAACTGGAACTTCCACAAGATCAGATCTACTTACTTCTGACTCATCTTGCGGTCACAGATGGAGCAGGCAAAATGGTTGACACACCAGGCTTTGTTGAAGGCACTAAACACTGGAAACAGAAATGTGATCTCTCTAGTCATCATCCTCATTAATCAAGGTATTCTATTTCCCTTCTATTACAATAAACAACCTGGGCACTGTTCTGCAAACTGATCACTTTGCTTAGAATTTTTAAGGTTTATGGGAGTTATGAACATGTTAGTGCTAAGACCACTTAGTGAGTGAGTGAGTGAGTTTAGTTTTATGCCGCACTCAGCAATATTCCAGCTATATGGCGGCGGTCTGTAAATAACCGAGTCTCGACCAGACAACCCAGTGATCAACAGCATGACAATCGATCTACGCAAATGGGAACCGATGACATGTGTCAACCAAGTAACCTAGCCTGACCACCCAATCCCGTTAGTCGCCTCTTACGACAAGCATGGGTTACTGAAGATCAATTCTTACTCGGACCTTCACGTGTTCTTGCAGTCTTAATCTAAAACTGAAGGTAAAGTGTCCAGGGAACTGATTAAGTTAGAAGCTGTAGAAACTCGAAATTTCTCATACCCATCTGATGACTGAGACGTACAAAGATTCATTAGATATAATGTGCAATAACTTTTACTTCACAAATATGATTTCAGAATCTATTGATTAAAACGTCACAAACAAGAGAATCTGAATATGAGACGTTTACTTCACAAATTCTGAGAGTCTGATAATGTCTGTTTCCTCTTACCATCCCCGTTGATGATGTTGTTGCACACAAAACAAATGTTACCAAACAGCTGAAAAAACGAGAAATGACAATGAAAATGACATAGTCTACATATAAAAGTGGTAAGCTTTATAATGTTGGCTATAGATATAGCTCAAAGAGATTGATAATCGTTAACTAAATATCGACTGACTATCGATACATATCGGAGAAATAAGTTAGGACAAAAATCCCTGAAACAAGATATTCCACTGCACTGGTGAGTGGTTGCATGGATTAACAGCATCCTGAACATACACTAGAAGCAACCTTTGAATAAAGATATAAGTTTATGATTATTTGTGAAAATTAAAACTTTATTTCATATCATTACTTTAAGTGTGATATTATCGACGACACAATTTTCATATAAATAATCGTTGACAATTCTTCCCATAAACGATATTACCGATCATGAATCCTTTTAACCAGCCCTAAAGCCTGACATCCACAAAGCCTCTCAATATGGAGACAAGATACCTCTCAATGGGGAGACACAATGCCATTTAATAGGGAGACACAGCGCCTCTCAATATCGAGACACAATGAATCTAAATACTGAGACACAGTGCCTCTAAATGGGGAGACATGATGCCTCTAAACACGGAGACACGATGCCTCTAAACACGGAGGCACGATACCTCTCAATGGGGAAACAAGATACCTATTAATACGGAGACACGATGCCTTTTAATGAGGAGACAAGACGCCTCTCAGTGAAGAGACACTTTGGTGCGGGTAAAACCAGTTCACATCTCAGCCTGCTCATACAACAAGAACTACAATGGAGTATCCACAATGCTCTAGGGCTGGGACGATTCACCGATGCATCGATACATCACGACACATTTAAGTTTGATACAGCTATTGTATCGTCGACAGGTGTATCCATACAAAACGAGACACGACTTTTTTCAAAACAGTATTATCTTAAACATGTTAAAGTACTTATTTAGTAAAAAATATGCAAGTATGATAGAGTTACCTGTTTGTTTACTACAATAGTGTTATTGTTATACACAAATACCTTGAAATAAATCATTTTAAATCCCAATATCTTAATTTTCTCTTAAGGTGTATGTATCGGGATACATATCGTATCACAGGTAAAATATTGTGATACATATCATATCATGACATAGTGTATCGTCCCAGCCCTACAATGCTCCGTTCTAATGGTGATGTGAGATATCTCTTAATATGGAGACAAGATGAATCTCAATGGGGAAACAACATGCCTCTTAATAGAGACACGAATCCTTTTACACATCTCAGCCTGCTCATACAACAAGAACTGCCATGGAGTTTCGACAATGCGCCGTTCTAACATTGATGTGAGACACAGCACTCACTTGATGGTAGTGGAGTTCACAATAGGCCAGACCCTTCTTCTCATAATGCCGGGTACCCAGGAACGGCTTCTCACACTTGGCACAAACAAAATGCTGCAAGAAAAGGAAAACCCATTTTAAACTCGGCAAAACAAGTTACAATGAGCATGGATATAAAGTACCGGTACTAACAATTATTACTTAATTCCGAAATGCTGACTGCATATCAAATATCAAATCAACTGATATGCACACATGCATGATGGTTTGTTTCCTGCTTGTTTGAAGCCGCACTCAGCGATATTCCAGCAGCAGTCTGTTAATAATCGAGTCTGGACCAGACAATCCAGTGATCAACAGCATGAGCATCGATCTATCAATTGGGATATGATGATATACATGAACCAATCCTGTTAATCACCTCTTAAGACAAGCATGGGTTACTAAAGATCAATGCTAACCCGGATGATCACATGTCGGCTAGGCAGAGGGGAAAATATGGTGGTTCAGCGAAATATTCGCCGGCCCAGAGGCCCATCACCGGTTGTTATTATATCGGACCAAATATTTGCAGGCCCTTGTGGCCTTCAGTAAATTATCTGTAATTTGTTTTCTCAACTGAAATCTTTCCCATAATTTCTGTCTGTATTAATGTTAGGGAATCATCCATGATCCATCATGTTACGATAACTCATGTTTCACTTCCTGGTGTTTCAGCACTTTACGCATATGAATGTCAACACCAGTCTTCAACAACTGAAAACGTCTCTCCACGCCACTGGCTTCGCTAATTGATTTGTAGAAACAGTGTGAAACTGTGTACAGTGTAATCTATTTTGTTTTTATTGGTTTGACTTTAACAAAATGGGCCTGCAAGATTTCATCCAGGGCCTGTAGATTTTACAGGCTGCAGGCGGCAGCAGGCCCTGATGGCCACCTGGCAAATTAACCTGTTGCAAACACTGGTTCAGTGACTGTGAGACAGACTTGACCATGCAATCAAGCAACCGAAAGTGACCACTCCATTGATGATTGCAAGTTATGACAGCAATGGCTACTGGAGACAATTCCTACCCTTCCACCCTTCCGAAAGATATCAACTGCTGTAATGTTTGAATTGAGTAACTGTACTTGAACATCAATTGATCTTCAGTAAGATGACCAGTTCTAACCTGGATCTTCATGGGTCGCACACAAACACACATATATACATGATATTCAAACAGAATAAGCTTTACAACTTCAAATCAGCAACGATTATCACAATTAATTTCTAGTGGTAACATCTGGCTAGCAGTAGAAGATGTTTCCTGGACAGCAGTATCTCACCTCAACATGCCAGGACTTGCCTAGAGCATGGACCACACGCTCTTCTATAGGACGTCTGGAACAGAAAAATCAGTTTTAATGTTTTGTGTTGTATCAGATATTTGACAGATTTTGTAAAAACAAATCCTCTCCAGGGAAACTGGTAACCGTTTTCAGTCAACTAACACCTATAGTTTTCCAGTTGATTCACTGATTTTTCCCCAACAAATTCAGTTTGCTTAAAAACCTGAAATAAAATAGAAGCACATAAGGAAACATTTGCGCCCAAGACACCCACATGTCTGACGCTTTTCTTGCAAATGCCATGTGTGGTAAAGGCATGAAGCTACATCAAGAGACTACATACCTACAAGCTCCACAGATGGGTATACCCATCTTGTCATGACAGCGTAGACAGTACAGCTCATTGCCCTTCTCCCTGGCATCAGACTGGAGCTCCTGGCTGGAACAACAATCACACACAGTCACATACATGTTGGTTTGTTGTTTAATGCTCCACTTAGAAATATACTAGTTATATGACTGTGGTCTGTAAATATTAGAGTCTGGAACCAGACAATCCAGTGATAAACACCATAAGCATTGATCTATGCAGAAATATCACATTAATCTTGTACCGATATCCTGTTAGACTTTTGCTGTGTTAATTGAGTGCAGTCCTTATTACTATGGACAAAGCTCCACGCCGTCATCTATGATAAAGGTAATGCTATTTTTGAGGGCATTATCATTTGCAGAAGCCCGAGGTCTTCCATTAACTGCCCGACGAAGGAGTGCAGTAGAAAAAGACCGAGGGCTTCTGCAAATGATAATGCCCTCAAAAATAGCATTACTGTTATTATTGCTAAAATACATGGAATTTGTGTTGAAAAGAAAAAGGACTGACTGAGTTTGGTTTTACGCCGCTTTTAGCAATATTCCAGCAATATCACGGCGGGGGATACCAGAAATTGGGAAAAGAAAAAGGAAACAATGAAGGAATTTGACTGTAAGTTTACTCAAAACCAACTTCTGATGGGGTCGACTGACTGAATGCAATCACGTCATCGAACAATTCAAGTGACGTCACAACAGAAAGTGACGATATTCTATGTCAGTGTTTGTTTTGATCAAACAACAACATTAATAGTGCAATTGTTAAGGTTAGCACCAGCAAGAAGGCCAATATTACCGCTATTTAAAGCGGAAATTTGGGTTGCTTTGACTTATTTGCAGCAGAATATCTGCCAGTCCAACGCCAAAGTCGAATGAACCGACGCACCCACTATGACGTCACTTGACAACAGAGCTGATAGTGGCCCGTTGTTAAGGTTGAGTGGTCCAATATCATTTGCAGCGGCCCGCAAATTTCTGATAATAAGAGGGCCATTTCATGATAACTCCATGTGTTTTAGCTATAAAGACTATTGACCAAGACACCAAGAAAGGCCACCTGATCCATTACATCACCCAATCCATGACCAATTCTATCCGAGAATCCTCACAGGCTCCTAAATTAGACGTATGTTACAACAACCAGTGACATGCAGGCACCACCTGTCCTGTCCCCGTGGGGTTGAGTACGTACCCACAGGAGTGGCAGTTGAAGTGGTAGGGGTGATACGCCTCCCCCTTGAACTTGATGTGACCCTCCTCTATAATCGAGCTGAAACAATCAGAGCAAGGAAACATGTCACTGAGAAAGAGTCAAAAACAATTTTCAGTTAACAGTTTTCTCGATACCAAACAAAACAAAGCTCTTCCAAATACATGGTTCACTTTTTCATTCATCAAACCCAAATGAAATGAGGAAACAGTGAGTGAGTGAGTGAGTGAGTTTGATTTTACGCTGCTTTTAGCAATATTCCAGCAATATCACAGCAGGTGAGGAAACAGGGTTAAACAGGTCAAATTATTTAAATTTGTTTTGTCTGTTTCATCCACTCAATGACGTAATGGAAAGGATAGTTTTTGTTTTCAATATATTAATAAAAAGTAATTAACTTTTTAAAATTAAGCTATTTCAGTGTTTTTATTTTATAAAAGAATAAAGGTTTTGATTAAACATAAAGAAATAATATCATTAAATAGAAAATATTGAACTGTATGCTGTAGAATGTGCCTGATAAAAGCAATGGTACCTTGTTTGCCAAAGAACTTGCCCAATACTTTTTTAATTCATGGGATTTACATAATGTTTATCTCTTTAGGAAGCCAGGCATTTATGCATACTATACACAACTCAAATGATAAGTAAATCCAATGTGGTAAATATCTATTGAAAGTTATATTTGTGGATGTTATTATGCTTATCTCCTGTAGAATACCAGCATTTAGGTCAGTAAAGGGGGATAACTCTTACAGCCCTCAATGACTTGTAATGGGCACAGGTAAGGTTCTGTGCCTGAAATACCTTCACAAGGGTTTCAAGTCTTGTGGAATCTCCACATCAGCATTACAATGATAGATGTTTGAATCTGATTTTATATTCCTGGGTGGGGTGTGGGTGTTCAACAACCTAACAATTTGACTCTGACTTCGGACATTTCTGAAACTGCAAAATGATTCAACGTACTGGCATTTGTGGCAGACATATTTGCCAAGTCCTTTGGCTTTTTCTTTGGCATTACATTCTCGACACAGTGCCCGGTTGGCGTTCTTGACGAAGCCGGCATCAGCGAGAGGTCCAGTACACAGCTCACAGCGGAAGCAGTCCGGGTGCCAGCTGTTGTTCATCGCCTTGATGACGCGGCCGATGATGAACTCACCTGGAAGAGTATACTCCTCATGAAGCAGAAAGCGAAAACAGCAATTCTCACAGTGAGTTTAAAAGTCAGAGATAATGGTGTCAAATAAAATCAAACCGGTAAGATGTTCTTATTTTCAAACCAGTGGTTGATAGTGTGGACAACAAAACACCTGTCAAATATGGCTGACAGAATGTAAGCAATGTCATTGCCAGAGGTGGATCCAAGCCTTAAGGGTAGGTCTGTGTATTGGCAAATTAATTGTAATGCAATGTATTGCGATTCTGGTACCCGTATTACGATATGTATAGCGATTTATCATCTAATGGAGTGTGTTATCTGTGCAATACCGCTAGACTAACAACTAGTCTCTGAAATGAACATATTTTACAGAAAAAAAGGCTCAAATTGAAAAAAATAAAATATAATGAATAAGAGCCCTGAGACTTTCTTCATTTTCAGAAGCTGAAGCTGTGGAAATCTAGACTTGCCACATTTTCTAGACGTGTGTGGGATTTCTTGGATATATTTACTTCAGGGTCTGTATGACAGACTACAATATCGCAATCTGATAAACTTGGTATCCAAATCTGATAACTATGCAAAGTATGTCAATCCACGAACTACTTTCACAAAACTCCATACTTGCCATGCAAATCTTAAAATGTTTACTATTTCATGATGACGTTGTCGTGAGAAAGTGTTTCTGGAGTCGTTGCTGCAGTAATTGACTTTGGAAAACATGAAACAGAGTACTTTGTTCAAATTGAAGATACCGATTATGAGGCACGAGCGATAGACAGTCATCTAAGAAAGATACCAACCAAGGATTTCGATCTATCGATCGCAATAGAGACGATGAATCGATTCCGTCAGGTATCAGAAACTGATATTGATGAGGTGATTACCCGCCATGAAAATAGAAACACTGCCAACAAAACCCTGCCCGATATTGTTGCTGTTTTTAGACAGACATATCTTATTTTAAGCGTGAGTTATGTTTTAACTAAATTAGTGACTAGTCACAACCATATGCTGCTGCCATGAACGACCTTCACCTTGGTGTACCGCTCAGTATTCTCGCCAAAGGCTTGCATAATACAATTTTTATTCCTAATATATGATATTAATGATACGGAAACACACTCGGTTAATAATCTCTATATATTGGGAGCTTCACTTTTTGACAGTGAGAGACATTGATTATACATGCAGTCTATTTTCTACATATTAAAGCCCTAGGATAAATTTTATGGTTGTGATAACAGAAGTCTTGAATTTAAATCTGATTTTTAAGGATTGTATTTTCTTTTTATTAAATATATTGTATGTAAAATATGTTGTTTTGCCAATTAATTACAATGGAAAACTTCAGTGTGAATGAAAGTGTGGATTTTAACCTAGAGATAATCACAAAACTTGCAATACATTGCAATATGTATCGTTTTCAAAGGCGTATTTGGATATCAAGGTATACTGGTAAGACTGTGCAGTCCTACTTAGAGCTATATATCAACCAAGTGACCATGCCTGACCACTCAATACATCAGGAACCTCAAACAACCAGAGCCCTGTTCCACAAAAACACTTTAGTACAGTGAAACCTGTCTAAACTGGCACCCCATGGGACCGAAATACAATGCCAGTTGAGACAGGGTGCTGGATTAGACAGTTACGATCATTTTTCTACATGGCTGCCATTTACACTCGTCAGTCTCTTTATCTCTATAATATGGTGTGCCGAGAGGAGTGTATTGGATTAAGGGACCTTGATGCCGGTTTAGACAGTGTCAATTACAGTTAAAATTGCTTGTTGGGACTGGAAAGTCGTGCTGGAATACGGAATAGACAGGTGCTGGATTAGACAATGTTTTAATGATCATAATATCATTGTAAAATGGCGGGACCAAACTTTTATGCCAGTTTTGACAGTGTGCCGGATTAGGAAGATGCCGGTGTTGGCAGGTTTCACTGTTCTAAGGCTACCGTATGCAAGTGTTAAAGTATAGGAGTGACGATCACCGTAGCACTCAGATTGCTTTGTGGAATCATAGGTTCCTAAGATCTACTCTAACCCAGACACTCTACAGCATCCCCAAACACTGACCACTGCTACAGTGTCTGTGTATCTGTCACTCACCACAGCTTCCGCAGCAGGGAGCGAAGAGGACGTGGAAGTCATGTTCACAATACTTCCTGCCTTCGTACTGAAACAAAGGAACAAACCTGGGTCAACACTGGGTCAACATGCCTCTACGCTGTTGTCATTGTTCTCAAATTGTCACAAAAATCATTTCCGTTTAAAAAATGATACATACATACAATCAAGTGCACTGTTACCCAAAATAAGCTCTCGCTGTGACGAGCAAATACTTTACCCACTAGGCTACACCACCACGCCCCCAAACCCACTGAGCTGCCCTTGCTACATGAACACACTATTCAGACACAGCATACTGACTCGCAACTGGCATTCTATTCTATTCTAAGTATGAGCCTGCCATATATATCTTTTAATCGGGTATGAGCCGGATCTATATCAGCCATGGCAACAAAGAGTACCATCTTTTAATGAGTATGACCCGGCCATATATCAACCATGGCAACAAAAAATACCACCTTTTATTGAGTATGACCCGACCATATATCAACCATGGCAACAAAAAATACCACCTTTTATTGAGTATGAGCCGGACACATATCAGGCAGGGCAAAAAGATTACCATCTTTTAACAGGGCTCAAGATAAGGGCAGTATCGGCATATGTACGGATAAAAAATATGCAAGATACGGTAGGAAATAATTTAGAAAACATAGCAGATACGCACCACGGCAATGGTGTATGGTCTCAGAATCATTTATATACATATTTATCTGAAAAAAGCATTGTTTTATTGTTTATTGACCTGTTTACACAAGACTAGCAATGCTGTGGTGCATATATGAAACGAAACACAATATTACAGATACTCCATTAAATTCCATTCAGTACTCTAAATGTACTCTTACGGTTTTCCAGTACTCCCATATTGAACATAAGGAGTATGTACTCCTGATGTTGAAAAGTTATCTGGAGCCCTGTTTTAATGGGAATGAATCTGCCATATATCAGACAAGGCAACAAAAAGTACCATCTTTTAACAGGTATGAGCTTGCCATTGGACTGAACCCCCAACCTTCCACTCAGACATTGTACCCACTAGATGATGGAAGTAGAGATGAAATACCACAGACATTTAACGTTTGAACAAACTTTCCACATAGAGGGACGGCGGGGTAGCCTAGAGGTTAAAGTGACTCAGGTTTGATACCCCACATGGGTACAATGTGTGAAGCACATTTCTGGTGTCCCCCAGCCATGATATTGCTGGAATATTGCTAAAAGAGGTGTAAAACTAAAGTCACTCACTCACTCACTCATTTCAATTAAGGGACACAACTCTTCACAGCAAACTGTGGTTCCTAAGACGATTGTTCCCCTAGGCTAACAACAAACAGTCAATACAGCTCCAAGCAAACTGCAACAGGTTGCCGCAAAGTAATCCCTTGTCTTCTGATCAATTTAACACAAGTGGGTCAAACATTATTATTGTTGATTCACTTAATGGTCACATAACCTGTTACATCAGTTGGCAGAGCAAACACAATCAATTACTGTGCCAGACCGGCAATACATTCTGTGAATGCCTGTTATGGTCGTGATAAATCCACATAATTGCTAAAACATGTAGAGCCAGTCTGGTGGAGGCTATGTATTCATGGTAGAGGAACTGGAACCTACCTCGTAGAAAATTCCCTCAGGGAATGGCTGGAAGCACTGGGCACAGCTGACAAAACAAAAATATTGTAATTATTGATTTTATCACCATGGTTACAGAACTTCCTGAAACTAACAGCCTTGTGAGGTCATGCTGACATTTTGAAATTTATGCTTTCAAATAAATTGTAAAAACATCAGATACATTGCAAAATAAAAAATGTCTATTACATGTTTGCCTTCATGTTTTCAAATATATTGTCAAAATATCAGATAAAGGACAATTCTGATAAAAGAATTGCCTTTGAGTTCTACAAAAAGGCAAATACATACTATGACATTTAAAATGTATTTTATCATACCAATATTGAGTGTTTGGGTGATTGGGGTTTAAGTTGCAGCTACATCATGTGAGCATGCTAACACAAACCAGTGGTTGATAACGTGAGCACCGATCCATTTGCTGGGTACGATGACACAAAGCCACGTGACGTTAGAATGTCTTCCCGCCTAACCACCATTCTGACCACCCAATCCTCTTGTAAGCCCAGCACAAACATGAGCTACTAGGGAGCAACCTCCAACTAAAATCCCTCTTGTAAATCAAAATAGATACATTTTAAGTGATGACGCGTTTACTGTTCTTGACTGTTTGGTCCAGCAATCCCCACTAGTTTCAGTTCAAAATAACGTTAATAATCCACCGACAATGAGGGAGTGAGTGAGTTTAGTTTTACGCCAGTTTTAGCAATATTCCAGCATTATCACGGCGGGGACACCAGAAATGGGCTTCACACATTGGGCTTCACACACTGGGCCCACATTGGGGAATCGAACCCGGGCCTTCGGCGTGACAAGCAAACACCTTAACCACTAGGCTTCCTCACCACTGACAATGAAGCTGAGAGCCATGTTCAGGCCAGCTGAGGTTTTGGTGTGGACTATATTTCATATTTACATTTAGCATGGGTTGCAGAACCTCTCAGTTAAAGAACTTAGCTCTAAATGACTTTTAATGCAAGCCTCCTTACCTCAAATACTGCTTGCATTATGTTAATTTGTATTTTTCTACTTCCATCTAACTAGTGACATAGTTTCAAATATTCAAAACACACCATACATTCAAACATTTAGCATACAAAAACAATACGAATGTGCAATAAAAGTCACAAAAGATGAAGATCAGACTGTACAACACACATCGTCTTTAAATCTAAATGATACAGAATGGCACAATATGATGAAGACCATGACAATGTTTAAAGCAGTGCAGAAATGAAGCCAAGCTAGGTCAGCAGAGTCACCAGCACCAAACCAAAATCTAAAAACTTCTAAACGCCATAATCTAAACTACCATAAATGTTTCTTATCTGCATCTATCTTACACACTTAACACTACATCTGAAAACTGTAAAGGATGATGTTAATTTGTGAATATATATTCTCAGACAAAGATTAAAACAGTTTACATATTACATATTCAAAATTTACAAAATTTCATTTTGGGCAAGAATTGTAAATCTACAGAAAGTAGGTTGAGAGATTATGTGGGAAATAGATCGGGCTGATTGGTGAGTAGTGGGGAGATTACAAAATGTAATCTGGGCAGACAAGCCAGTGGTTGAAAATGTGAGCATGGATTTAAGCCACGCATGGTTCTGGCGTAAGCCAACACACCAAGGTGACTACTCAACAGTCAGCTGTTTACGGTCAGACATTGTGGCCATCCGATCCCTAGTCTTGCTGCCTATATAAACATGATAAAGCAGGATCTGACCGAAAACCAGCACAGATGCACAGAAGAATGCATCCTTGCTGGTCCAGGGTAATGTATCCATTCTATCAATATAAATACCCTGGATCCATTTGCAAAACTTAGCTTTAGTGACATTGCCATCTCCAACACTTTTTGATTGGATTAATGTAATTGTGAGTGGGTGAGTTTAGTTTTACGCCGCACTCAGCAATATTCCAGCTATATGGCCTCACTCTGTAAATAATCAAGTCTGGACCAGACAATCCAGTGATCAACAGCATGAGCATTGATCTGCGCATTTGGGATACGATGACATGTGTCAACCAAGTCAGCAAGCCTGTCAGCCAATCCAGTTAGTCGCCTCTTACGACAAGCATGGGTTACTGAAGATCAATTCCAACCTGGATCTTCACGCGTTGGATGAATGTAATAAACGCCACATGGTCTACATAAGATTCAAGGCAAAGTCCAAGGTATTTATCATGATGAAATGGCTGTATTACACCCTTGATTGGTGAGGATGAGCTGAATGCTGGAGATCTTTAATGTTCCAGGTCTGAGGGACGATAGAGACTGTATACCACTTGGGTTGGGGAAGCACACTGGGCATTGATATGAGTGTGGATGTGGAAGTGGATGCGGACGTGAACATGGACATAGATGTGAACATAGATGTGGATGTAGATGTGACTGTGAACATGGATGTGGATGTGAACATGGATGTGGATGATCAGTTGCACCAGAATACCCAGATGACAACTTCTGCAACAATCTGTCAACACAAACCTGCACCATAACATTTTGATTGGACAATCCAAGTGTTTTTTCACAAGGCTTTCAACCAATCAGAGACCAGGTACTTACACAAAACATGACGGATGCCAAACTTGGCCGTGGTAGTTAACCATTTGTTCCTGTGCCTCAATATCCTCTCCGCATTTAGAGCACATGGGCCCTCGCGGCTCACTGGATCCATTGCTGTTAGATTCAGATATGAAATGGGTGATGGCATGAAGATTACATTGTTACACAGCCCCAAGCCAGAGTATTACTAAGCATGGTCCAAAACCAACCCATAAATATGTGAATACAAGATGCATAAAAGATACAATGTTACATGCAAGTGGTGTTGAATTCAAAATAACTGTTTGAAAACCTTGAAATCCTCCATTTTGAAAAATGGGGAGATAACTCCAAATAAGAAATGGATACTATAAAATAGGGGAGCTAACTCTGACTCTTAACACATATCGTGTCATGCTGTGAGAATTAAGGACAGGTTTCAAGGTTCTCGTTTGAACTTCCACAGAATAACAAAACACTTATCAACTTCATGCCTTCATGATTTATAAGTGTTAAAAAAATATACATTCTAGACATTAGAATTGCATACAAGCACATAACATGTATACTGTCAGATATTTATTCAAAAACAATAATTTGCTTCACAGTAGAGACATTGCACAATCAGAAATATTTGAAATTCTTCTTCTGAAAAGACAATTTATTAAACTTTAAATACGTTCATACATGATCACAAAAGTCATGAAGACAGAGTTGTAAATTCAACTCAAATAATGCCTCTTTGTGCAAATTATTGTTTTTAATGAAAATACCTGGCAGTTATGAAATCAATTAGGCCTAAGGTACAACAGCTGCAGAGATTCTATGAATATCTACTCGTCTACAAAGGTATTACATCAAACAGTATGAGAAATGAATGGTGCGGCATGATGCAGAACAAAATAAGCCGATCAAGTAGAAACAAACACATTAAAATGCTACATGCATTAGAACGTTTATTGTCATTTAAGGTTGTTAAATGTTATATCAAGCTGACAATTCAATGAAAAAAAAAAGCCCTAAGAGGATTAGTATAATGCTTTTAATGATTTCAAAAATACTAGATTAGATTTTCGTGGATGCTTGAGCTGTGGAAATATGATCCATGGTGTCTTGCTTATGTATATATAGAATACTAAATTCCCTCAGAGTACAGTGTTAGTTTAGGTTCATGTTACTGAATGCAACTCATGCTTTTCATGCTAACGCAGTAGCCTTTTTAGGTTGGTAAGCTGGTCAGTGATTGTATAGATGATTTTAATGGATAGATGGCAGAATGGATGGATAGATGGCAGGATGAAGTGATGGATAGATAGCAGGAAGGATGGATGGCAGGATGGATTGATGGATAGATGGCAAGACAGATGGATGGATAGATGACAGGATGGAAGGATGGCAGAATGGATGGATGGATGAGTAAACTTATTTATTGACACTGTAGTGAATATTGCAGCATCATATTGGTGGTTCATATCAACACTTTGGACCAAACAAACCAGTGATTGATGTGAAGAGCAATGATCTGGCCATCAATCAGATATCAATGGACGGATGTCTGGTACACTTACTGAGCGATGGATGGATTTCAGCTTCACAGATGGTTTTGACCCTTAATTCACTTACTCTATGAATGGATAGATACAAGGTGCTCAACTGTTCAGCACGGGAGTATTGAAACAGACATAATTAGATGGGTCAGGTCACACAGGCCATAGATATTTACCTATTTGTCATCCCAATTGCATCTGTATGGGTTTAAAAGTCAGGTTCCCCTTCCACTAAGTGATTGTCGTGCTAAGGTTATCGTAACTCCCATACTTTAGCATAGACTTATGACTGTCGTAGTGCTGCAACTGCTTTCTGGAATAGGGTCCAGGGTCATAATCGGGGCATTCTGATATTCAAACCCTATAAGTTACAGGGCATTCCTCTGTTCAGGAAATTACATGGCCGCTGGATACCAAGTGGAGAAGCAGACGCCAACACCCTGGACAGATGAGACACTACTGGATAAGCAGACGTCAACACGCCGACAAGATGTGACACTACTGGATAAGCAGATATCAACACCCTGACAAGATGTGACACTACTGGATAAGCAGATATCAACACCCTGACAAGATGTGACACTACTGGATAAGCAGATGTCAACACCCTGACAAGATGTGACACTACTGGATAAGCAGATGTCAACACCCTGGACACATGTGACACTACTGGATAAGCAGACGTCAACATCCTGACAAGATGTGACACTACAGGAATAGCAGACATCAACACCCTTGATTAGCAGACGCCAATACCCTGGGCATGTGCAGCTACAGGATAGACAGATGCTAACAGCCTGGACATATGTGACACTCCTGAATAAGATGATGTCCAAACCCTGGACACATGTGATACGACAGGACAAGAAGATGTCAGGAAAACCCCGAACATCATTTCTGACAGCACAGATGATCTCTGTCAACTGTCTGCCCTGGCCAGACATTGATAAAAAATATGTGTCTTCTTTTCCAAGGAAATGGCCTTCAAATTCACCTTGACAGCATTGGTCTTTATTTCCCTATCTGTGTTCCCCAGTATTGAGGCATAGTGAAAAATTATAAAATAATGAACTGAACTAGCTTTCTGTTGCTGATGGCGTTACTTCAACAGATGTACTATGATGATCTGCAGCAACAGCCCAAGGCATCAGGTTCCACCAACAACATCAAGTTGTCGCCATGTTGACTGTTAACCATGATCTTGCAAACATGCAGAGTTAGACATCCAGTCTACTGTGTTCGGTTCGGGACAGGTATCTGTTACTGGGTATCTGTTATATGGTTAGCCCCTGATCTATGACCAGACTGGTGAGAATGTCAGTCACAACACATACTCATGCCAGTACATAACATATAGATATACCTGTTGTACAACACTACAAGAAACAAGTATTATCAAGTCCATGAATATTTACAATGAAATATACAGAGATGAACATGAATTATGGAAATTGATGTTAAGTTGTGAAAATGACATGAATATCAACTGATGTGAGATACTAGAGTTGACACAGTGAGATTATATCAATCCACTTAAACACAATGTGAATCTAACATTATTTCCAATCATTCTTTCTAAAACCATGCATTGACAGCAAAGTAATGATAATAAAGTTTGGGTGTTGGAATAAGACTAACTTATCTTTTTACATAAACACATGTTTGTTTTGTTTGCTGGTTGTTTAGCACTGCAGTTAATAATATCATGGTTTTATGATGGCGGCCTGTATAAACCACACAACTAATCGATGATGTCACAAGAACAACCAAGCTACCCAACAAAACCAGTTGCTGCATTTGGGGGATACTGAGGACCAGCATAGCTTCTTATAACCAAGATTCCATAACAGAGACCAGCATGGCTTCTTATAACCAAGATTCCATAACAGAGACCAGCATAGCTTTTTACAACCAAGATTCCATAACAGAGACTAGCATAGCTTCTTATAACCAAGATTCCATAACAGAGACCAGCATGGCTTCTTATAACCAAGATTCCATAACAGAGACTAGCATAGCTTCTTATAACCAAGATTCCATAACAGAGACTAGCATAGCTTTTTATAACCAAGATTCCATAACAGTGACCAGCATAGCTTTTTATAACCAAGATTCCATAACAGAGACCAGCATAGCTTCTTATAACCAAGATTCCATAACAGAGACCAGCATAGCTTCTTCTAACCAAGATTCCATAACAGAGACCAGCATAGCTTCTTCTAACCAAGATTCCATAACAGAGACTAGCATAGCTTCTTATAACCATGATTCCATAACAGAGACCTGCATAGCTTCTTCTAACCAAGATTCCATAACAGAGACCAGCATAGCTTCTTATAACCATGATTCCATAACAGAGACTAGCATAGCTTCTTATAACCATGATTCCATAACAGAGACCAGCATAGCTTCTTATAACCAAGATTCCATAACAGAGACCAGCATAGCTTCTTCTAACCAAAATTCCATAACAGAGACCAGCATAGCTTCTTCTAACCAAGATTCCATAACAGAGACCAGCATAGCTTCTTATAACCAAGATTCCATAACAGAGACCAGCATAGCTTCTTATAACCAAGATTCCATAACAGAGACCAGCATAGCTTCTTCTAACCAAGATTCCATAACAGAGACCAGCATAGCTTCTTCTAACCAAGATTCCATAACAGAGACTAGCATAGCTTCTTATAACCATGATTCCATAACAGAGACCTGCATAGCTTCTTCTAACCAAGATTCCATAACAGAGACCAGCATAGCTTCTTATAACCATGATTCCATAACAGAGACCTGCATAGCTTCTTCTAACCAAGATTCCATAACAGAGACCAGCATAGCTTCTTATAACCATGATTCCATAACAGAGACCTGCATAGCTTCTTCTAACCAAGATTCCATAACAGAGACCAGCATAGCTTCTTATAACCATGATTCCATAACAGAGACTAGCATAGCTTCTTATAACCAAGATTCCATAACAGAGACCAGCACAGATTCTTATAACCAAGATTCCATAACAGAGACCAGCATAGCTTCTTATAACCAAGATTCCATAACAGTGACTAGCATAGTTTCTTCTAACCAAGATTCCATAACAGAGACTAGCATAGCTTCTTATAACCAAGATTCCATAACAGAGACCAGCATAGTTTCTTCTAACCAAGATTCCATAACAGAGACTAGCATAGCTTCTTCTAACCAAGATTCCATAACAGAGACTAGCATAGTTTCTCATAACCCAGGATCCCCACCTGGACATTTACCATAGTCTGTCTCACAGTCCCTGAGCCACAATATTTCCCCTTCCTCCCAGCCCTCCCTGCAATGCTAAATCCTTAAATGAAGTCAAGTCTAGATTTCCCATTCTGACCTGTTCTCCTATCCCATTTGCACTGATTCTCCACTGGGTTGTAACTATCTCTTTCACTTTAAATGGGTTTATATTGTTACTGATCAATGTCATATATATTCAGGGACTCTAGGACAAGCATAACTTGATGGGGACCATTCTGACCTTGATTCTCAATGGGGTAACTATCCCATCTTGGGACCTATTCTGACCCTGATTCTCCACTGGGTTGTAACTATCCCATCTTGGGACCTATTCTGACCCATCTGATTCTGATTAACTATCCCACTGGGACCTATTCTGTGATTCTCCATGGGGTAACTATCCCATCTTGGGACCTATTCTGACCCTGATTCTCCACTGGGTTGTAACTATCCCATCTTGGGACCTATTCTGACCCTGATTCTCCACTGGGTTGTAACTATCCCATCTTGGGACCTATTCTGACCCTGATTCTCCACTGGGTTGTAACTATCCCATCTTGAGGACCTATTCTGACCCTGATTCTCCACTGGGTTGTAACTATCCCATCTTGGGACCTATTCTGACCCTGATTCTCCACTGGGTTGTAACTATCCCATCTTGGGACCTATTCTGACCCTGATTCTCCACTGGGTTGTAACTATAACCTATTCCCATTCTCCAGGGGGTTGTACCCCATACCTATTCTGACCCTGATTCTCCACTGGGTTGTAACTATCCCATCTGAGGACCTATTCTGACCCTGATTCTCCACTGGGGTAACTATCCCAGCTGAGGGACCTATTCTGACCCCTGATTCTCCATCCCAGCTTGGGACCTATTCTGACCCTGATTCTCCACTGGGTTGTAACTATCCCACCTATTCTGACCCTGTTGTAACTGGGTAACTATCCCATCTAACTATCCCAGCTTGAGGACCTATTCTGGACTCCACTATTCCCATCTTGGGACCCTGATTCTCCACTGGGTTGTAACTATCCCAGCTGAGGGACCTATTCTGACCCTGATTCTCCACTGGGTTAACTATCCCATCTTGGGACCTATTCTGACCCTGATTCTCCACTGGGTTGTAACTATCCCATCTTGGGACCTATTCTGACCCTGATTCTCCACTGGGTTGTAACTATCCCATCTTGGGACCTATTCTGACCCTGATTCTCCACTGGGTTGTAACTATCCCAGCTGAGGACCTATTCTGCCCCTGATTGCTCTATCCACTGATTCTCCACTGGGCTGACCCTGATTCTCCACTGGGTTGTAACTATCCCATCTTGGGACCTATTCTGACCCTGATTCTCCACTGGGTTGTAACTATCCCATCTTGGGACCTATTCTGACCCTGATTCTCCACTGGGTTGTAACTATCCCAGCTGAGGACCTATTCTGACCCTGATTCTCCACTGGGTTGTAACTATCCCAGCTGAGGACCTATTCTGACCCTGATTCTCCACTGGGTTGTAACTATCCCAGCTGAGGACCTATGATGTCCCTGAATCCCACAGGGTAACTATCACATTCTTACGTAAATTGACCAATGTGACAAGCATACCTATTCTGTCCTTGAAAGCCCACGAGTAAATCATGACAACACTTGTGTCACCCGTCTCAAGTTCAGGAGTTATCAGGTCAAATATCAGTTGTTGAAGGCCACATGGGCTCAGTTCATAATCACTCATTCTGTCTAATATGGGCGTGTCTTCACTACCCTACATGTGACCTTTAGCCCTCTCAGTGAACAAAGGTGTCAGTGTCTTAGGTGTGTTGTAAAATTAGAGTCAATCTTGAGGAGTAAACTATCATAATTTTATTGTTCAGTGCCGGAAGGTACACTAAATTCTAATACCCAACAGCAGTAAATGTTAGAATTTGTCAGACTTGATATATCACATTTGAGACGAATCGTAGCTGCTATATTTAACACGCATATGAAATAATTATGTTTATTTACTCATTTACATATTTATTAAGGAGATGAATTTTATGTGGTTGTCATTGAGTGTATAGGTCCCAAATTTTAATTTATTACCAATGGCAGATATGTTTATATTTTCAGTCGTTCTGATGACGTCTTAAGACAATGGATGAATTCACATGCACCCTGTCACATCACCTTGTCAGAAGAATGTAGGCAAAACTTACCTAAAGTGTGGTTTTTCAGTAAAATATTTAAAATCAAATAAAATCAACTCAGTATTGAAAATACAATAAATACTTCAATGCATTCAAATTTTATACATCTTAACCATTAACTATGATTTTCAATCAACCCAATGGTGGCAGAATCCACTGGGGCCTTTTAAACAAATTGGGTTTTTTAAATTCTACAGAACTCAAAATTATATACATGGCAATAACCATTTAACAAAACCCTGAACTAATAGTTTCATACTTCTAAATCATAGTGTTCATCATCATTACATGTTGCAAGGCGCATGATTATGCATGGTCTAAGGGGCTTGACTATTGTTGATGTATGGAGGGGCTCAGATAATCTTTACTAAGATGGTCCTATCAGATGACAGCAAGTGTAGCACACAGCCAATAAACAAGAAACATTCTTATATCAAATTTCGTAAACAGATTATCACAAGGGTCATGATACTGAAGTGGAATTTGATCTGATTTCCTGTAGATAGTTGGACTGGATGGTTGTCATTCCTGTCAAGGTCAACCCAAACATGACCCAACCATGGTTACGCTGGATTGACTTTTATGATGCAAATTTGTCTCTGTTAATTATTTTTCATGTACAAATCTGGTTTTGATACAAGTTAGTAAGTATAATTATTTGAAATATAAACCATATTTTATTTATATCATAACTGATTCATTATGGTGCTAAGAGGGAACATGTCTATGAATATGTAGACTAACAGTGAGTTTGTAAGATGAAAGAAATATTAGGATTAGTTAAGTTCAATTCTTAAAATTTATTCTTAAACAAAGGCAAAGAATTTTTAGTTTCTTTATATGACTATAGTGCATCTGTTTTTACACAACAATGCTAAAACAACAAATACCTACACCTTAATTACACAATCTACAAGGACCGATTGGAGTGAACATTACTACCTTGGCTAATTTTTCTTTGTAATGTTTTGTAATATTGGACATGTTTTATATTTCTCATTAATATTTTTCAAATGTCTCTTAATATATGAAAATAAAATAAACAAGAGGCTGAATTCATTTTCAAGTGAGAAATCTAGACTTGCCAAAGCATCAATTATAGACTTGCTTAGGATATGGATATTTCAGCATCTGCAAGGGAGACAGCTTAGTGAGCCCCAAACAGTGAACTTCAGTGTCCCTCAACAAGATATTTGTCTTCATGAAGTTAAATCTAAAGATGAGAAGTTATGGATGTCAACTTCTTTATTTAGAGGAACACAGTGTTTCGGAATATTGTCTTACCCCTTCATCATTCACCTGATGAGAAGTAAGAATATAATCCGAAACACTGTGTTCCTCTAACAAAATTCTCATCTTTATGTGCATCACATCCAAATGCCATTTAAATACTTTAAATCTGACTTAAACTATCCATAATATGAATCATTTAAAAATTAGTTATTAAACAAGAAGACAAAGTCATCAATATCCCCCGCAATGGCAAAATACTCTTCATGATTATGTCTACGAGTTATGATTATGTCAAATATTTAGGTGTGTATATAGAAAAGTGGAAGGAGAGTATTGAAAGGTTTTTAAAGTTCTGCTCCAGAAAGCAGCACTATCACCAATTTCAGTCAAACTTGTTGCCATGGAAACGTCAAAAATATTTTATTCAGAATTCCAAAACTACCAAAAGGCACCAGTACACCACCAGATCTATCTATGTGCCAAGTTTGGTGAAGAAATATTGAACGGTTTTAGAGTTCTGCTCCGGAAAAGAGCACTACCACCAATTTCAGTCTAAGTCGAACTTGTTGCCATGGAAACGCCAAAAATATTTTATTCAGAATTCCAAAACTACCAAAAGGCACCAGTACACCACCAGATCTATGCATGTACCAAGTTTGGTGAAGAAATATTGAACGGTTTTAGAGTTCTCCTCCGGAAAAGAGCACTACCACTAATTTCAGTCAAAGTCGAACTTGTTGCCATGGAAACGCCAAAAATATTTTATTCAGAATTCCAAAACTACCAAAAGGCACCAGTACACCACCAGATCCATGTATGTGCCAAGTTTGGTGAAGAAATATTGAACGGTTTTAGAGTTCTGCTCCGGAAAAGACAAATGTGCACGGATCGGATGATTCCATTTAATACCCCCGCAAAACGATTGCCCTGATGCTAATGTAATACAAACTTTCATTCTATAAGATGGGTGTGTCTAATTAAATTGCTGGGACTGTATTTTAAATTCGGTTGTTTAAACAACACCCTTTTCATTGGGTAATGTTCTCAGATCTACTTTCATCCTGCCTAACAACATACCTAACTCAACATACAAGACCTAATTACAATCAATCACCACAAATGTGTACCATGGAGAAGACTTGATTCGTATGTGAATGGGGTATCTAAGTGGATTTTTCAGTTTTAAAAATAGTTTGGAGAGCTCTGGAGTGTGACAAATACTTTGTCATGCATGTGTTGGGAGTGGAGTTTGGGGATATATCTGCCACAGTTTTAAAGACAGATCTGTTTGTCATAGTTTCTGACCTTCGTGAGTGTGTAACTGTAGCAGTCTTTGTTAACAAGGTTTATTCATTGTTTCTTTCACAGCTCTATTCCACAACAGGAAAAACATACGTCGGCTTCCCACTGTTCCCAGGGTTAGATGACGTTTGTGAAATAATTCTTTTAAAGTAGCAACAAATTTGAAATCCTCAAGAGACATTGTGAACTGGCTTTTTTAAATAATTCTAATTATGAAATTATTTCAAATTTGTATGCTTCATGGGAAATACGGTATTTATTGTCAAACTCAATGTTACTCACAATTTTAACAGAAATGTATTTGTTTTCCTGATCAGTTAAACAAAGAACATTAAGGCACACAAGAGTTACTTCCCTTGATGACACTGACCTTCTGCTATTGATTGTAACATGGAATCACCAGTGGGGTTGTGTTACAGATAAATTATGAACCCAAACTAAGCATTGCTAGCATACATAAATCGTGTCTCTTTTTAAGCTGTACTCTGTTTGCGATAACTAGAATCTTATCTAGCATAATGTTAAGTAGCTTCTGACAGTTACAGACGGCCTACTTGATAAGACAAACAGCAGCAGTCTTCATCTTTTTTATCATGTTTATCATTATAAGCGTTATCGGTGATGTATGATGATGATTAAACCCTGGGATTATGTGACACATCACACGTAATATTTCAACCCCTGTCCTGTGTACTTGACTATCAGTTATATTATTGACAGCTATTTTAAGTATGTCGCAGATTTGATAAACCAAAACTTGCCATCTTGATTATCTACATACTTTAATCATAGTAACAACATATGTGAAAATGTTATTATAACTATGCTTGATATACAGCTCTAGCCTATGCCTATTACCACGGTTACGCTAACATCACAACTCACACGAAACACTGGGTATGCCAGACTTCTCCATTGGAGTTGACGATCTGTTCCGTGGCGGAGAAGCCATCGCCGCACCTTCGGCATATTGCATTGCCCAGGGACATGTTCTGGCTGCAAAATAAACAACAATATTTAGTGTTGTCTGACTGGTCAAATGCAATACAGAAACAACAATATTCACTGTGGTCATTGGTCAAATCCTAGACATAATCAACAACAATATTCTCTGTGATCATTGGTTAAATACTGGCAATAATGAACAACAATATTCACTGTGATCATTGGTTAAATACTGGAAATAAATCAACAACAATATTTACTGTGGTCATTGGTCAAATACTGGCAATAAGTGTCAAATACTGGCAATAATGAACAACAATATTCACTGTGATCATTGGTTAAATACTGGAAATAAATCAACAACAATATTTACTGTGGTCATTGGTCAAATACTGGCAATAATGAACAACAATATTTACTGTGGTCATTGGTCAAATACTGGCAATAATGAACAACAATATTCACTGTGATCATTGGTTAAATACTGGAAATAAATCAACAACAATATTTACTGTGGTCATTGGTCAAATACTGGCAATAATGAACAACAATATTTACTGTGGTCATTGGTCAAATACTGGCAATAATGAACAACAATATTCACTGTGATATTCATGTGGTTTGGTTATTCACTGTGGTCAAATACTGGAAATAAATCAACAACAATATTCACTGTGGTCATTGGTCAAATACTGGAAATAATCAACAACAATATTTACTGTGGTCATTGGTCAAATACTGGCAATAATGAACAACAATATTCACTGTGGTCATTGGTCAAATACTGGAAATAATCAACAACAATATTCACTGTGGTCATTGGTTAAATACTGGAAATAAACAGTAATGCAGTTTCGGAGACCCAAGTCAGGAAAATGGAGGTCTTATGGTCTGTTTGTTTGTTTGTTAGTTCAGGGGGTTTAATGCCGCACTCAGCAATATCCCAGCTATTGGAGGGTAGTCTGTAACAGTCTGGATCAGACAATCCAGTGATTGACATCATGAGCATCAATCTACGCAACTAGGATACAGTAACTATGCAAAGTCTACAAAGTCAACAAGCTCGGCCACTTGATACAAATGTTTTGCCTGTTACAAACACAGGTTGCTGAAGACCAATCTAACTGACTGACACCCTGACGTCATGAATGACTGTTTATAACATGCAACATCTTGCATCAAGTAAAACCCAGTCACTGGGACATGATTATCAATTTGTCAGGCGAGAACATGCATAACCTGTAGAATATTTCCATCATGTCACAACGACCAAGTTTCATTCCCTGACTTGAAATGCAATTTCCTCGTTAGTCTCAAGCATGTTGCATCAACTGATGGTGCAAACAAATATTTGTCTCCCAAAACAATCATGTTTGCACATTTAGTATTATCTGTCCCCCAGAATTGACTCACACGAGATATATTGTTATATGCGCATAGATACTGGTATGTATACCGTAAGTAAATATAACCTACCTCAGACATGGTGGATAATAATTTGGGAATTACGGGGTATTGAATATATCACTTAGCATATGCTATCAAGCTCTTGAACTGTTTGTCTTGCCAAGTACCCGATTACCAAAACAAACAACGCGAGTAATCTCCCCCTTATCAGGAAGTGACAGAGGATTAGGGCAGGCTGAAAAGTGACAAATTGGAAACCAAAGGTGGCCATGATTTATAAGGCTATGGTGTTTATTTATTTATTATTTATTAACAGAGGGTCAAGAAGTTGTATGAAGGCGGTAGGGTGGTGGATGTAGGTTGATGCTGAAGGTGTGGGCGAGTTGTGGTGCTGTAAGGAGAGGGAGAAGGTGTGGATGTGGGTTGGGGTGAGGTGATGCTGAAGGTGTGGGCGAGTTGTGGTGCTGTAAGGAGAGGGAGAAGGTGTGGATGTGGGTGGGGGTGAGGTGATGCTGAAGGTGTTGGGGCGTTGTGGTGCTGTAAGGACTGACTGAGTTTGGTTTTAGCCGCTTTTAGCAATATTCCAGCAACATCACGGCGGGGAACACCAGAAATGGGCTTCACACATTGTACCCATGTGGGGATTCGAATCCGGGTCTTCGGCATGACGAGCCAACGCTTAACCACTAGGCTACCCCACCGCCCCGGTGCTGTAAGGAGAGGGAGAAGGTGTGGATGTGGGTGGGGGTGAGGTGATGCTGAAGGTGTGGGTGGGTTGTGATGCTGTAAGGAGAGGGAGAAGGTGTGGATGTGGGTGGGGGTGAGGTGATGCTGAAGGTGTGGGTTGGTTGTGGTGCTGTAAGGTGAGGGAGAAGGTGTGGATGTGGATGTGGGTGGAGGTGAAGTGATGCTGAAGGTGTGGGTGGGTTGTGATGCTGTAAGGAGAGGGAGAAGGTGTGGATGTGGGTGGGGGTGAGGTGATGCTGAAGGTGTGGGTTGGTTGTTGTGCTGTAAGGAGAGGGTGAGGGTGTGGATGTGGGTGAAGTGATGCTGAAGGTGTGGGTGGGTTGTGATGCTGTAAGGAGAGGGAGAAGGTGTGGATGTGGATGTGGGTGGGGGTGAAGTGATGCTGAAGGTGTGGGTGGGTTGTGATGCTGTAAGGAGAGGGAGAAGGTGTGGATGTGGGTGGGGGTGAGGTGATGCTGAAGGTGTGGGTGGGTTTGGGTGCTGTAAGTTGAGGGTGAGGGTGTGGATGTGGGTGGGGGTGAGGTGATGCTGAAGGTGTGGGTGGGTTTCGGTGCTGTAAGTTGAGGGTGAGGGTGTGGATGTGGGTGGGGGTGAGGTGATGCTGAAGGTGTGGGTGGGTTGTGGTGCTGTAAGTTGAGGGTGTGGATGTGGATGTGGATGTGGGTGGGGGTGAAGTAAGGTTCGTTGAAGCTGCATTAAAACACTTTTGTAAAAATCTGTTGTTTCTTAGTTTGCACTCAGCGAAATTCCAGCTATATGGCGGTGGTCTATAATAATCAAATGTGGACGTGACAATCCAGTGATCAACAGCATGAGCGTTGATCTACGCAACTGGGATACCGATGACAAGTGTCTGCCTCATATGACAAGCATGGGTTGCTGGAAATCAATTCTGACCAGGATCTTTATGGCTATTGTAAAAATGTTGGAAGTATCATACTGTATCAAATGTACTGAAGTTCAATTGTGCAACAACAGTGCTTGAAATTTAGCATCAAAGTTGGGGCAGTGGGGTAGCCTGGTGGTTAAAGCGTCCACCCGTCATGCAGAAGACCCGGGTTCGAATCCCCACATGGGCACAATGTGTGAAGCCCATTTCTGGTGTCCCCCGCCATGATATTGCTGGAATATTGCTAAAAGCAGGCGTAAAACCATACTCATGCACTCACTCACTCACTAGCAACAAAGTCACAGCAATTTTGTTGTCTATTGCCACACCTCAGAAGTTTTCATGTTTTGATGCCAGCTGGTGAATAATCAAACCTGGCCCAGACAAACGAGTGGTCGATATCGTGAGCATCATCATAATCATCTTGGTTTGTTGACCCGCAATCCACCAAGTCACTATGCCCTGACCATCACATCCATGATGTCTTGTCAGATTCTCCATTTACCAAGTAAACCTCTACAGACATAGCGTGTGCAAGGCAAGGTATCGGCTGTCAGTTGCATCGCAGTTGATTTCAACAGTATATACCGAATATTAAATTATATCTAAAGTATCTTCAGTCGGTTCAAAAGTTGGACCAAAACCTCCTCCTCGGTTTTGTTTGAAAAAGTAAGCCCTTGGACTCGGACTTTACTTTTTCAATCAAAACCGAGGAGGAGGTTTTGATCCTTCATGTCAAAAATAAAGCTTATTCAAGGTTTGAGAGATTTTAAGCATGATTGCAGAAAACTTCAAGGGCCCCGGACCACACTTACATGTGACCTCTTGTCACCAAATTACTATATATCCCTACTAAACCCATCACCACACTTACATTCAGTGAAGTGCCATGATTGATTGTGTACACTGTCCTGTACATCGATATCATAAACTTTCAGTTCCCCATACAGCTGACAGGCTTCTAAGCCTTTATCTCCCTACACTCTCCTGAAGCCTTCACATACTGGAGATTCCGACCCCAACATTCAAGTATTTCATGGTGACCCCGAGGTCACAGCATGGCAGCCGCTGTAAAAAACCTCTGTTTGTGGTTGACATAGAAAGATAGAAAGATTGGGATCCTTTTGAATAAACAATGAGTGAGCGGGTCTCATGCCTCAGTGAATCTGGTTATACACGCAACACCTCAAACATAAAAATCTCCTACAGAACCAATTCATTGGTCCTGTTGTCAATTCATGAAGTATTTTCTAACTGTCGTACATTATGTTGCCAACTCATGGATGATTAAACTACTCCCTATGACTTCTAGAAGTGTGCCTCAATATCTGCCTGCAGCTTCGGGAAATGCTTTCAGAAATTTTCAAATTATCTGATATAAAATAATCTTTGTAGAAACCCCACATCACCACAAAAATATACCTGTACCATCATTCTTATTGATAATGAGCATATTTATAACCTGCCTTTTCCAGGCCAGATACCCTGCTCAAAGTGCACAATCTGATCATTATTACCCCGGTTAGGCTCTAAATGGTTGAAAGTCTCACGAGCGGGTACCCATTTTCTGCTGGGTGAACAGAGGCAATATTAAACTAACTCACTTGCCTAAGGTGTGCCCACATGCATCACATGTCCTTTCTTGTGGGGCAGGACTGAAGTCCTAGAAACTCACAGGAGTCAAGCTGTCACACACGGTCACTCATCCAAGGACTCTCCGCACCCAACGGTCACTCATCCAAGGACTCTCCGCACCCAACGGTGCTTTACTTCAACTGATTGGTGACCTGAGCTCTATGCACAGGACCACAGTGACACCACCTTATTACTAATATGAACATATGTACAGACACCTCCTGTAATTCCTTTCACAAATTTGCTTGTCTTTTCTGAAAATGTCATTATTTGTTATTTTTGCACTGGCCCGACACTATCGTGGGTGCATGGTAATATCCTTACAGGGATTCAGAAATATAATGACAATTACAAGAAAAATATCTAAAATCTG